CCCCCCCCCCCCCCCCCCCTACTGCTGCTGCAGCGCCGGCGGCGACATTTAGTGTGTACTACTCTAGTGTTTAAAGATATTCTGAAGTATATGGTTTTATCGTTTTGGGCGGTTACATCTGCCCTCGACCTATCGGCCTCCGCTCTCGCTTTTGTGCTTCTGACGCTGTTTTGTTGTACGGCTGCTGCCGCTGCCGCCACCACCTCTCTCTCCGCCCTTGCCATCCTCAGTGGGGCGTTGGTGCCCCACAAGACCGCCATCCACAGCCTCCACGCCAAGCTGTTCCGCAACTACCGGGACTGGTGCGAGTCGATGAGGATCGCGCCTTGCTTCATGCCTCACCCTCCCCCGAACGACGGCTACGGGGGCGGTCACGGGGACAGCGGCAGGGACAAGCTAGAGGTGACCAACTCGTGGCAGTAGGATTGAGGGCAAGCGCGCGTGGTGGGCAATGTATTTTGGTCCCGGATTGGTTCTCTTCCGAGCAGCGACAGGGACAAGCTAGTGGCGTGCCATATTTATTTAACTCGTCGTAGTAGTAACCAGTGCCTTTGGCACGCGTGCTTCCCCCTCGATTCGTTCTCTTTCGGTCTCAGAAAGTTGCACCAGTGACACGAGTTGGTAGGTCATGCTTGCGGTAGTTTTGGTCCGTTCGCTCGTTTGGATGGGAACAATCAACAAGCATGTTACTGTCGATACGAGTCACAAAAATAGTTGTTTGCATTTGCACGCCCTCGTTGGTATGTTGGGCATGGAGTCAGTCACAAACGGTGTTTTTGCGCGCCATTGGTTTTTTGTCTCACCACGCTTGACTCTTGTTTTTTTTTTTATTCTGTTTTTCTTCACTTCACATTGGCGGGTGCGCAGGAGGACGCTCTGATGATGGACCTGATGCTGTGGCTGTGCATGTGGGGCGAGGCGGGCAACCTGCGGCACATGCCGGAGTGTCTCTGTTTCCTGTTCCACAAGATGATGCAGCACAACATCGCGATGAAGCAAGGCGGGGGGGACACGCCCAACCTGTACGGCGGCTACTTCCTCGACCACGTCGTGACCCCCATCTACGAGGTGATCACCCGCAAAAAGAAACGCGACGATAGGACTGACCACCAGAACAAGCTCAACTACGACGACTTGAACGAGTTCTTCTGGACGCCGACCTGCCTCATCTTCTCGTACCGCAGCGACGACGTCGCGGGGGCGGCGGCGGAGGCGGAGGAGGAAGGTTCCGCGGCTGGCGGCGGCTTCCGCGGCGCCGGCGGGGCGGGGGGCTCCGCGGTGCTCCCGGTCGCCGTCGGCATGGAGGACGCGCCCAAGACGTTCGTGGAGAAGAGGAGCATGCTGTCGACGGTGCTGTGCTTCCACCGCGTGCTGGAGTTCCACATCCTGACTTTCCAGATGTGCGCCGTGGTGGCGTTCGCGAACATGATGGTGTGGGACAAGCCGTACTTCCTCCAGATGGCGTCGAGCGTATTCTGGTCGGCGAATTTCCTGGGCATCGTGTGGACGATCCTCGAGGTGTGGCAGGCGTTTCCGGGCATCCAGATGACGGGAACGGCCAAGGGCGGGCTCCTCGTGCGCCTGGGCCTCCGCTTCCTGGTGCTCGTGTACCAGAGCCTGTACTTCATGTGGTCGACGCAGCGGATTCCGGTGGAGCGGACGGGGATGCAGGCCCAGGGAGGGTACGTGTTCTGGTGGTGGCAGTACCTGTGGCTGTCTTTCCTGGCCATGGTGCCGTACGCGCTCGAGTGCTTCCAGCAGGTGTTCCCGCCGATCGCGACGTGGCTGTGCAACTGCGACAGCGACTACCTGCAGGCGCTGCTCAACATCTGCTACCCCCTGAGCCGCGTGTACGTGGGCAAGCGGGTAGACGAGCCGGTGGGCAAAGCGTTCAAGTACATCTTCTTCTGGGGCACCCTCCTCGCGTGGAAGATCTACTTCTCCTACAAGTACGAGGTGCTCATCCTCGTCCTCCCCTCCGTCGAGCTCTACGACGACTACGTGAACTACCCCGAGACCTCCTATTGGGGCATGTTCTTCCTCATCCTGCTCCGGTGGGTGCCCCAGATGTTCATCTACCTCATCGACACCTCCATCTGGTTCGCCTGCTGGACCGCCATGACCGGGAGCATCGTGGGTTTCCAGGTGAGGTGGCGGCGTGCGGGACAAGGTTGACGCATGATGATGCCGGGGAGATGGTTTTTGTTCTGTGGTTTCGTCAGGGGTCCTCACGTCAATACCGATGGGTTAGTTCGGAGACAGAGGTTGATGTTCATGTCCCCTCGAAGGCGGCCGTCAGTGGGCATGTGTGAGTTGCTAGCGTGTTTTTATGGTTGCCTCAAGAGGTCCTAACGTGGATCATCATCAACGATGGGTCAGTTTTTTAAGACGGGGCGGTCGATTTTGCTTCCAAGCGAGTCTCGTGCCCCAGCAATTGTGTTTTTGGTTTTTATTTGGTTCTGAGAGGAGGAAAAAGGGGTTGGTTTCTCGAACCAGCACCTTGGTGTCCTTGTCGCAGCGTAAACCTCACATTCCGCAAACTGGATAGAGCGCGTTTTTTTGCCCGATCGGGAGTAGGCCCGACGCAAAAGGCTGGAGGTCCGTCTGACGGGAGATATGCAACCTCTGCTGTCGGGTTGATACATCATACACAGTTTGCACATACATGCGCCGAGAGAGAACAGAATCGAAGGAAAGAAACCAGGGCTAAGGAGGGTCTAGAAGTGTACGGAATGTTGAAGGAAGGAATAGGGTTCAAGGACTACCTACATGGACCAATGGATGCAGGAACAAAGCTTAAGGTCAAATTCAGGACCGGGGACATAGGCCTTCGAGAACGTCGACGAAGACATAGGACGGTAGACGAGGAAGACGACGAGTTCAAATGTGATTGCGGCTTCGAATGCGAAGACCGTGTTCATGTAGTCGCGGAATGTCCGTTGTACAAGAAGGAGAGGGAAGTGTACGTGACTGAGCTGGGAAAAATAGATGGAACGTACAGGGAGATGTTTGAGGCATGGAATAGAGAGGAAAGGACGGTAGCTGTACTGGGGCATAGGAGGTGGGTTGACAAGGCGGGAAGGGATGTCGTTAGGATAGACAGACTAGGGATTACAATTTTGAGCCACCTTTGGCAAAGTAGGAAGGAACGATTGGCCATCGGTGATCGGTCCTGTGGGAACAATGCTCCGTCCTCTCGAGGACGCGTGGTCAATGGTCTAAC